GGTATGTAAGCTCCAGAGTGATTTTGGAAAGGAAGGGGGCTTCAGTCTACTAAGGCCAGTCCGCAGTGAGAGAGGCAGAGACTCAGAGAAGAAGAAACAAGGTCAGAACCCAGGGCAGACACAGAGCCTGAAACCCGTAAAGCAGTGGGAGCACTGTGCCTTCTGCCGTGTGCCACGCCGAGTTCCTTCCAACAAAGTATACATCTTCTCCGAGAAACCACCCCGCCTATCTTGGCAGTAATGAGTTATTCCATTAGTGGTATGATCACTCCTAGGATGGATTATTTGAGCTGTATCCAGTGCTTGCTTGTGATGAATGAAAGGTGAGGTTTTGGTGACATTCAGCCAAAGGAACATGAGTCCTAGAAACCTACTCTGGCTCAATCATCTTTCTCCCTGGTGAGGTTCATAAGCAAGCAATACAGTCAAGGGCCATCAACAGATAAGAAATCAAAATACTACTTTATTTCACCTGAATAGGTGCCCAATTTTTTAGTACAGAGTTACCTTGTGAAAACAAGGTTGGAGCAAGCTGTCTATAGTGAAGACTCACATGAGCCTCCCCTTTCCCCCACATACTGAAATCTTCATACCCTCTGTCCTGTCACATTTGAACCAGAAATGGGAGCCATAAGAAATGGGCTTGCTGATGCATTTGAGGAAGAGAAAACAAGATGGCCAGCTCCCAAGAGAAGGCCCTGGCTTAGTGTACCGATTCCCACTGCATGAAGTTGAAGAGAAAGCTGCCTGTGGGTTCATACCTCTGCCTTTAAATATGGAGAGGTTAATTTCCTGGAATCTGACCAATTTAAAGAACAAGCCGTCTCTGGGGGAAGGCAACTGCCAGGAGAGAAGTGGGGAGATGGAACTTCCTTTTCATCTAAATACTTGTTCTTCAAAATGCAGACCATGGATCAGCAGTATCAGCATCACCTGGGAGTTTGTTAGACATGCACGATCTTGGACCCAGCCCTAGATTACTGGAATCCGGGAATTGCATGGAATTAAAATCAGGATTCACATGCCTGTTAAAGTTTGAGAAGCACTGTGTTTCTAAATCCTAAATCCATGCCCAAACTGTCTGTCATTTGGATCTTTGCTCACTTCCAAAAATAGTCCTCTGCATATGATCAATAGTTAGTGACAGGATATTTGAGAAATTCTCTTTGGAACCTATTTCATTACATTTGAAGGGAGAAAACAATTTCTGAGAAACCAGCACACGTTCATGAACAAGTGGCTTAGACAGAGACAGAAACATACTAAAAACAAGCAAACAAAACAGTTCTAGATATACACACACAGCTCTGCTGAGCAGGACAGATGGGCATAGTAAGTCTCCTCTCACGCCATCCCTCCACCCGTAATATTCCCTCCCTTCCTCACCCACGCTTTCCTTCATCCAGGCTAGTGTTAGGCTCCCATGCTGAGCTCTGCGTCACACACGGAAAGTTCCACGTGGATTGCATGTCTCTTGCAGCCCTGCCCCCCATACCCAAATGTAGTATGAGATACTATACCATTAAGCCAAGACAGAGCAGGACAATGAAAAGCAACTTGGCATATCAGTATTTCTCACATTTAAACAGGTATGATCATCATGATCCAATTCGTGTCTTACTTCTGACAGTGGCCAAATCCCATGCCTGGTTCTTCGTTCAATATTTATCTTCAGTTGCTCTCCCTACCTGAGTAGGAAATTAATGATAAAAACTCAAAGCACCCAATTCCCAGGGTCTTCTCTTTCCTCTGCCTGACACAATACCTTAAAGTTAAAAAAGAAAAAAAGGACCAGGAGTTCCAAATATGAATTAAATAGAGTCTACCATATCACTTTATAGGATCCAAGAATGACAGAATTCAATGAGTAATGATTAAACTTACCATCTGCTGAGCACTTACAGTGTACTTCACAACAACCCTATGAAGTAAGTAGGATCCTCATTTAATGAGGGAGGAAATTTAAAGTTTTCAGAAGTTGAATAACTTGCCAAGGAAGCAGCAAAGATAGAGCTCCAGCCCACACCTGTCTGAGTCCAAAGCCTCTTAACCACTGAACTAACATGATGTCTCCCTGGTCAGAAACCACTGTGTGAATAAAGAAGCATTTTCCTTCTCTGGGGTTAAAGTAAAGATTAAATGAGATTAAAGATGTTCAAGCACCTAGAAAAATAAGGTGCTGTAATTATATATCATTTAGTACATTAAGATTGTATCCAAATAAAGTCCCTCAGTACTACATAAGTGCCAATTTTACATGTGAAAAATAGTCTCTCTTATAATTAAAGAGATCCCAGTTCATTCCATTTAGAGTTCTCATTTATTACATTAGAAAATAATCTTTAAAGTTTAACCCTCAATGTTGGCAAGGATGTTGTGAAACTAGTACATTGCTGGTGGAAGCACAAGTTAGTACAACGTTTCTGAAAAGCAAACAGACAAGATGTTTCAAGACATTCTTTAAGCTGACATCAGGATTTCTTGTAGGGAAAAATAATTAGGCCAAAAATTAAGTATAAATATAGTTAAGAGTATAGATTCTGAAAGCAGATTGCTTGGATTTAAATCCCAGCTCCACTACTTATTAGCCATGTGACCTTGGGCAAGCCTCTGAGCTGGTATCTAAAATGGGGATAATAATGATACTATTTCACTGGGTTGTTATGAGAATTAAATGAATTATTATGTGTAAAGTGCTTAACCCAGTGCCTGGCACAAAGTAAGCACTAGACAGAAATGGTATCTATTATTTTTATTATCTCAGTATTTTATATAATAGCAAATAATTGGAATCAATCTGCCTGACCATAGGAAAATTGTTCATATACTATGATGCAGACATAAAATGAATACCATAAAGCCATTAAAAATGAGGCTTTAAAAGACTAATCACATACATGTAAAATAAAAAAGGGCAGGAAATTGTATATATAGTCTCATTCCACTCATGCTTATCAAAAGAGGACTTGGTACAAATATACATGCATAGAAAACAACCCATAGGCACATAGGGATTACATAAAAATATTAACAAAGATTGTATCTGGGTGGCAGAGTAGAGTTTGGGGTTTTATCCACTTCTGCACTTTGCAAATCCTTTGGAGCAGTGCTTCTCAAATAGGCATAGGAATCACCTGGTGAACTTTAAAAACTGCAGACTGTGGGCCAGTAGGTCTGGGATTTTACAGATTCTGCATCTCTAACAGGCTCCTGGGTGGTGCTGATGCCTGGGCCAAGGCCTACTGTCTATGAGTAGCAAGGTTTTGAAGCAGGGGTTCTCAGACCTGTGTGTGCATCTGAACCAATCAGAGGGTTTGTTAAAGCTCAGGTGCTGGGCTCCATCCCCAGAGTCTCTGATTTTAACAGAGCAGGAACAGGACCCTAGAATGAGCATTTCAAACAGTTTCCCAGGTGATGCTGATGCTGCAGGTGTGGAAACTACCCTTTGAAGACCACTGCTTTAGAGTGTGTGTGTGTGGGGGGGGTGCACACACATGTATGCATGTTTTCCTTAGCCTCATAAAAGAGAGGGGGAAGCACTAAACGAAGATCAGACTTCCCCATTGATTAATGCTCTTCAGCCAAATGCCTCTATAATCTAACCCCATCATTTCCTACTAGCTCTGTTTAGGCTACAAAATCGAACCACTCTGCCCTGAACACACTGGAGATTTCAAACATCTTCACTTCTGCCCTATTTCCTCTCTCTGGCTGATACATCCTTCCTTCTATTTCCTCACGCCCAAATTCTATCGCACATCCTTCAAAGCTCTCCAATGCCAGTTCCTCCATAAAGCCTTCTGATCCACCCCTGAAAAAGCCACCTCTCTCTGCTCATCGGAGCTCCACAGCACTTTCTGTTCCTCCCTGGTAATATTTACTGAACTTTACCTGGTAGAGTGACTCTAAGGGTGGGTGATGTCTCTCTCCGCCAGAAGACTAGGAGTTACTTAACTGAAAGCAGGGCAGTCACTTGCCTCTTTGCCCTTTGGGTTCTACAAATCCCCGGCAGACAGCTGTCACTCAGGGCTGATCTAAAATGAATGAAGCGCCCTGGCTGGTGTGGCTCAGTGGAGTGAGTGCTGGCCTCCGAACTGAAAGGTCATCCGTTGGATTCCCAGTCAGGGCACCTGCCTGGGTTATGGGCCAAGTCCCCAGTTGGGGGCGTGCGAGAGGCAACTGATCAATGTACGGTATCTCTCGCACAACGGTTTCTGTCCTTCTCTTTCTCCCTCCCTTCCCCTTTCTCTAAAAATAAAATTCTTTAAAAAAAAAAATGAATGAAAGAAGGAATGGCATCCTGGGGAAGGGCACGGAACTGTCCTGTAAATGGAAACTAGAACGCAGGCACGCCAAGCCTGATGACCAACAGTAACAGGTGTGTTTCCATCTCTGCTATCTGTGACTCATCCCGCACAGCTGCCTGCGCACGGAGGTGTCAGCGCCCGGCGGCTTCTGGAGTACAACGCCCCATGGGCTGAAGCGCACTGTGTTCTGGGCGTTCGGGCGGCCACACTCCCCTGCAATCACCTGGATCCACAAAAAAGAGGCCCTGCCACCTTAAATATACTAAATCCTTACTGAAAAGAAGCACCTATGGCTTGTGCCTACGCCCCTTGCTTCTCACCGCACCTTTCTTTTAAGTTTCTAAGAAATCTGTTGAGGGTGAGCCTGCCTGCGTTTTGTCACTGGCGCCCCCACCTCCCTAAACATACACACACACCCCTCTTCCCCTTGGCGTCTCTCGGACTAGGCGGGTCTCCCTCCGAGGACTGGGTTGAATGGGAAAGAACCGGGCCGCCTTTGTCATTAATCCTCTCTTCTTTCAGCCGAGCCAAGCTTCTTCCGGGTCAACGACTGTCCCCACCACCCCAGTCAGGCCCGTGGTCCCCCACACCGCTAGCCGAGGAGCGCGCGCCAGGGCCAGGTCCCCACCCCCCGCAGGTTGCGGGAGGGAAGGAGGACAAGAGGAGGGCGGGCGGCGCGGGAGTGGGGGAGGAGGGAGGGAGAGAAGGAGGGGAAGGCAATCCGAGGAGGAGGAGAGAGCAGGCAGCCTCCCGCAGCTGGCGAGGAGAATGGGAGTGCGGGGCGACAGACCGCCGCGGGGTGTCACGGCCGCGGCCGCGAAGCTTGCCAGACGCGGGGCCGGCGCCCGCCGCTTTTAAACCCAGGAGGGCGCGGCGGCGCAGCGGCGGGCGGATTGCGGCGCGCGCTGGGCGCCGGGCGGCAGCCGAATGGAGAGGAAAGGCTCGGCGGCTGGGACCAAGGGGAACCCGAGCCTGCCGGTGGCCGGCGAGGGGCAGCGGCCGCCGCCGCCGCTGTGCGTTCTGGGCGGCGGCGGCGGCGGCGGCGGCGGCGGTGGAGGGGCTCCAGCGCGGAGCCAGGCTGGGGCGGCGGCCGAGCCCTCCGAGTTCATCCGGCGCGCGCAGGAGTTCAAGAGCCAAGGGTCGCAGTGCTACAAGGACAAGAAATTCCGCGAAGCCATCGGCAAATACCACCGGGCGTTGCTGGAGCTGAAGGGGCTGCTGCCGGCCCCCGGGGAACGGGAGCGGGACTCGCGTGCGGCCTCCCCGGCGGGGGCCCCCAACCCCGGCCGCCTCTCGGAGGAGCAGAGCAAGACCGTGGAAGCCATCGAGATCGACTGCTACAACAGCCTGGCAGGTGAGCCGCGCAGCGCCGCGCGCCGGGCCCCTCCTCCCCGGCCCTCCCGGCCTCCCGCCGGCGCCAGTCCCAATTCCGCGGCCCGGGCCTCCTGGTCACAGCCGACCACTGCGGCGCGCCCGCGGTGCACGCTGCTCCACAGGGACCGCGTTGCTCGCGGAGAAAGAACCTGGGGGCGGGGGGGAGGGACGCTTTGGGAAAAGTGACTTTTAGCGTTCTACCTTTCAAAACTCATTGTCATCCCGCGCCCATTCCCCCGCATTTACCCTAAATCTCACCTATAAATAACTGGACAGAGACAGATGCTACTATCACTCCCCAGAGGATCTGGGTTCAGTGCGGGAAGCAGCGCCAGGGTGGGCCACCGCACCCACCGCGTGCCCAGGGACTGCTCTCCCCTGGTACCATTGGCGCCAGAGCTGGCCCTCACCTTCCCCCTAGCTGACCGCATCCCTGTGGGTGAGGTCCTTCCCCAAGTTCACTTGACCCCAGTAGCAAAGGGCAGTTTGCCAAAATGCCCTCAGCATCTTGAGCAAAATGGATTCCAAAATACCACTTTCTTCTCTCCGAGCTCTGCTTAGGGCCCGGTTGCCAGGTGAAGAGAGCGATCTCAAAGGGAGCCTAGTTCACGGCTGGACTGGAGCTGTGCTACATTCTCGCTCCGCGTAGTGTTGGTCTTCACAGCAGATGGCTGCTGGGTGTGAGGAGAAAGGGAGCCCTTCCACCGGATGGGAAGGAAGGCGAGGTGTAGGTTCCAGAGTTCACTTGGGGGATTGAAGTCAACCATTTCTCAAAATTTAACTTTGGCACAGGAAAATTTTAAAAATCTAAAAAAGGAGGAGTCAGGGTCTTTCCAGGGCCATCCTGTGAGAAGGTGGGAGATGTTGACAGAGGCGATGGACTTACATGTTAAAAGTGTTCTCTCCTCTTCTTCGACCCCATGTGTGGGGATTTGGGCATGCTCCAGGTCCTGTGAGCAAACAAAAGGCCATTCATCACTCCTAGTCCCTAACTCTTGAAATCGCCTAAATCAGCTATGGACAGTTGGAGCTGAGTGGGGTTGGGAGCATAACGGGGCGTGGCTGGGAATGTGTCTGGAGCCCAGGCAGCTGGGGATGAAAAAAAACGTAGCGATAAGTCTGCTCTCTTCCTAAGGGCAGATCTGTTCTGCTGCCTTCGAGGCTTCTAGTGCCAGCCTACTTCTGCTTTCCCATAATGCCACGTCCACTATCATCTTTCATCAGGCAAAACCCAGGCCCTTTAAAAATTGTAGTTTACAAACTTAATAGTGATAGTAGTAGCAGTTGTAGAAATGGTGGTGCTGATAGCAGTAGTAGTAATAACAGCAGCAGATAAAGTAGTCGTGCAGCAAAGATGGAATGTTTCAATCCCTCATAAGGTACAGCATAATACCCTTTACTTCCTGTAAGTCTCTGGCATACTCATTACTGCCTGATGAATAGTTAAAGGGCAGAGTGCCTGTGGGTGGAAGGAGAGGCAGTTTGGATCACTAATGTGGTGATTTCAGAGTGGTAATGGAATCTTATATTTAGTATTATCCGCGGGCATTCTAGGGTTGCCCCTCACCCCGTGCTTTTGGCTGCTGGCCTGTGGCTCCAGAAGTGGTGGTTATATTTCCATGGTGAAACCAAAGATGTGTCCTTGGTCAGGCCAGCCAAGTAAGGGTGGGGTTAAGATCTGGACAGCTCCTCCACTTCCGCCCCTACCCCCGACACACACTTCGGAAAACTTCAGTGGTGAGAGATTTCCCCTCTGCTGCCTTCTCCAGTGCTCACCACTAATATTAATAATTTATTGCGTGCAGTGTGCTAGGCCTTCTACATACATTGTCTTTTTTAATCTTTAAAACAGCTTGATAAAAGATATATGATCATGAGTTTTGCAGAGAAAAAAAAATCCCTGTGATTCTAGAACCATTCAATGCCAACATCAGTGCTCTTATGATCACACCTTTGCTGCACAAAGTCAGCATCCTTTAGACTCCTGTCTCCCTGGAGTCCAGCCTCGGGTAAACTCCAGAGACCTTACACTTGGAAAATTCTGTTGGGAGCTCTCAGCCTTGGCAACCAGGAGAAAGAAATACAGTACCTTGATTCAAGGTTCTAATAGGGCTATTTCCAAATATTGTCAAGTATCACATAAAAAAGAAAAGAAAAGAAGAATAATTACAAGCTCAGCAGTCTTGTCAAACCTAAAACAGGTATCCTGTATAGAAAATTCAACTGAGAGAATCCACACAGAAGAAACCTGGAGAAGTAGAAGGCTGATGTTGGTTTTCTTTTGGACAATGTGTAAAATCAGTTACTACTATTGCAGAAAGCCTAGCAAATAGAAAAGCATTGTTCCGTGCTGAATTATAAAAGGAATACATACCTATAAAAATGAATTGTCTTTTAGAAAATACCAAAAAGTTTAAGGGAGAAAATAGAAAATTACCTTTAACCCCACCACCTAAAGGAATCCATTGTGATATATTTCCGTCCTGTATTTTTTTTCTATACATAAATGTAAACTGTTTATAAAGCAAAGGACCTCTGGTATCCTGCTTTTATTTCCATTTACCATTATGTCAGAAGCATTTTACATCTCATTAAAATAGTTCTGTGAAGATTATTTCAAATGGTGACATAAAATTTTTAAATGCGTAATGACAATGATTATTTAATGGAAAGGGAAGGAAAGATGATCAGTGTTATTGTTGTTAGAGTCAGAACAGTGCAGTGTGGCCCACAAGAGATCCTTTCCCTCTTGTGTCTGCCAAAAGGAAGCAGACAGCTACTGCAAGTTCGTTCTGGCAAAAAGGCAACTGACCTTTCCGTCGGGGCTGCAGTGCCCGCTGAGCAGCCCAGCAGGCTCCAGGCAGGAGCAGTCTGAAGATGTTCTCTCAAGGATCCATCCTCCTCTACACAGCTGTGCATAGAGGGAGAGGTTTGAGAGTTAGAAGGAACTTGGACTAGCCCAGACGCACCTGGAGGTATAGGCTCTGTTGCTAAGGGCATCTCAGCATTAAAAAGTCTGTTGTGAGGCTTCTGGTGGAAACCTAGGTTCAGGGGACCCTCGTACTCTGCATGGAAGGCTCCCAGACAATAGCCAGGGAACAGCTAGAATGTGCTAAGAGATGTCAGTCTAAAAAATCCATTTGGGTGACTTCAGGGGACCATGTGAGGGATGTGTGGGCAATTTGCAAAGTGCCCATGGTTGTAATCTGTCCTGGACTGGGGTTTCTTCTGATTAGTAGGGATCTGGCCAGTAGTACAAGATGCCTGGACTTGGTTTTGCATATTTTATTCTCTAAGAAAATTAAAAAAAGAGATGGGAAGCATCTTGTTCCTTGAGAATTTCTAATGACTTTGCTACAATGATTAGAAAGGATATTCTGACTTGCCTGGGGAGATATAGGAATCTAGTCCTTACCAAGGCTGCAAAGGAAGCGTATATTAGCCTCTTGATCAACTCCTCTTGACCTTGAACAAAGCAGGACTCCCCTGGGACCTTGGAATGCTCTGTACAGAATCTCTCGAAGGGCCGAGCCTTATGCTCTACATCTGTTCCCGTGCGGTTATGGTGGCCCCAGCTGGGGTGTGATCAAAAGGCTACACACATAATGACTTTGTTGGTATTTTCAAATGAAGTTTGAGACTCAAATGCCAGTGGAGATGGGTGCGGACAGGCCATGGCATTGGATCTAAAGGCAAGGTGACAGTCAGCGGATGCCTCTCTCCACGGCATGCCCTGCGACTTTGGATAAGCCTTTACCACGGCTTTTTACCTCCATTTTCCCATCCACTTAGAGCTCTGTTTGGGAGACTCCTTTTTGTTTGTTTTACCAAAGGAGCAGCTAACATGCATCAGTCCTAACTGAAGCCCAGGGCAGGGCCTAGAGAAGTCCCACTGAGTGAAGGCCTGTGACAGGAGCCGTTTCCTCGGTGCTTGTAGACATGACCTAAAGCCACAGGACTAGCCGGCTGCGTCGTTTGTGGGGCCCAGGACAGAATGAAGCTGTGGGGCTCCTTGTTCAAAATTAGGGGAGAATTGTCATGAAAGGCCTTAGAAGATAAAGCTTTTTTTCTTTTTCTCATTTCTCTCTCTCTCGACTTGACATAGTGTTTTTATTTGCTATTTAATGTCAATATAAGAACATTAAAATTTTACATTATTGGCATAAATATTAATGTTCATCTTTATACAGTGCAATACCACTTAAATGGAAATATAAGAGCACTTGTATATGGAATCACATAAATTATACAATTCACATTTTGTAACTTATGTATGCGTATCTAGTTTTTTCTTGTTATAACAGGAGAAATGCTGACAAAACAAACTCAGCTGTTTTTATTTCACTTCTTTATGTGCATACTTTATGTACACACTTTCTACCAAGCTTGGCTTTTGGATGAGTAAGAAGAGGAAAACGAACTGTAGAGTTACCCCTTCTATGTCATCATTTTCAGCCAAAGTGGTTGGCTCGTAGAGGGAAGCAGCATTAGTAGGAAAGGATGTGATGGGGTTCCTACGTCATTTGTGTTTCTTAGGACACTGTTGCTTCCTTTCTGCATTTGAAATAATTTCTGGATGGAATGGATGCTGCCAGCATGTTTGCTTGCTTATAGAGCTAACATTCTTACCTTGTTCTTGAGTTGGGTCTTGCTGAGCTTTCATGCCTTGTGGATCCACTGGCATTCTGGGCTCAGCGGTCGTCATGACTGCTCTGTGCAAGTGGAGCTGCAAGGAAGGGTGTGCCTGTCTCTTCTGCTCACGGTCATGCTGCGTTGTCCCATCAGGCTTCACTTAGAAAACACAATTTCAAAGATAAAGTTATTAAGAATTTTAAGAAGGCAATAGCGCAGCATTAAGCCAAATACAGGGTCCCTCTGTACATGGATCCTATGCGACTGAGTAAGTCACCCATCCTTGAAACCAGCCCTCAACAGGACACTGGAAGATGACTGGATGAATACAACTAAAGTGGGCAAAAT